CAAAAAAAAAAAAAAAAAAAAAAGATGTGAGGTACAATTCAGGATTAGATATACAAGTGGTCATCGTACAGGTAAAGTTTGGGCCTCCCTCTGGTCCCCACTTTGCCTGATCAGGTACCCTTACTGATATTGTGTCCCCCTCTTCCACCCCAGCAGTATCCCGCTGCTGTCAATTCCTTTCTTACAGAATTCTGGTAAATGTTCAGGGTCCACTTATGAGTGAGAATGTGTGGTACCCTGTTCTTTGTTTCTGTGATAAATTACTGAATATGATCAACTCTAAATCCATCCAAGTTGCTGCGAAATTCATATGTTTATCCTTCTTTATGGCTGCATAATATTTCATTGTGTATATGTGCCACATATTTTTTTATCCAGTTCATTAAACGGAACGAATTTTCTAGCTTCATCCTTTAGAGCACCCTCTTTTTTTTTGAGATTGAAAAATATGAATTATTTAGAAAGTAGGTTCGAGAGAGAGAAAATGAGAATCCACCTCCCCCAGATAGGAGAGGGGGCCAGAGCTTACAGAAGAGCATGGCCTACAGCTCCCTCTTTTTATGAAATGCTTTAAGAAAATAACCTTGACCTTGCTCAGATCTCTTGGCTCTGCTCACTGTATCCATTTTTCTTTGAACTTTCTCTTTACTTTTCTCCTATTGCCCCTATCCTCCTGATTTTGAATTCTGCTTTCAATAGTTTCTCTTGTGGGACTTTGCTTTGGATGGAAACTCCCATTTGTTAGAATGAGTAAGTTGCAAAGTCTAAACCCCTCCAGGAACATCAAACTTCTTTTCAAGGTCTTTGCCCTCACCTGCAAAGTGCAGCCTACGGAGCTCCCTCTGTGCTCTGGCTGCTGTTTCTTGGATTTCCGGTGAGTACCTGCTGGAGAGTTGGAATTCTCCTGGGCTCAAGTCCATCTGATAATCCATTGTTTCCCCTGCTTCTAAGATTTTTTTCCAGATGTGACTGATAGCACCTACTTGTATTTGAAGTTTTGTGGTGATACTTTTTCCTGATTGTGTTGTGGATATTGCCTGTGGGTTTGGGGTTATTTTATCCTAGTGGAGGATTATTGGAGAATATAGGTAGATTAGAAACTATACAATCCCCACTAGCAACTACTTCCCAGAATGAGTGACTGGATATTTTGTAAAGTTCCTCACTGACTTTTCTGTGCATCAGGGTCTAGACTTACAGGTCTAACTGCTCTGTTTACTCCCTTTTCACACTTTTGCTTTCTAAGGACTCAGCTTCCAGTGCTCCTCTCTTCCCACGGTCCTGGTCTTTCTTGGAAGTGTCACCATCTCCCATGGCGTCAGTCTCTATCTATATGATGATGACCATCAAGCCCCAGTTGCTTTTCCTGATGTAATACTCATAGATAAATCTGTCCACTGTATGGCTGTACGTGGATATCCATGGGAAGCTCAGACTTACCTTGTTCACATTTTCTCCTTCTCCTGGTGTTCCACATTTCAGTCATTCCAGTCAGAAACCTGTGTGATAGCCTAAGCTTCTCTCCTTCCTAAGTCCCCAAACCCTATCAATCACTAAGGCTTTTTCATTTCCTTCCTCATGTCTCTGGATTCCATCCAAATCTCTATCCTTATAATAGCTGTTTCTGTGGTTGAGACCACCATCTCTGAATCATTGTAACTTATTCTTTCCATTCCTCCAGTTCCTGCTCTTCCTTCCTTCCTTCCTTCCTTCCTTCCTTCCTTTCTTTCTTTCTTTCTTTCTTTCTTTCTTTCTTTCTTTCTTTCTTGTCAGAATCTCACTCTGTCGTCCAGGCTGGAGTACAGTGACACGCTCATGGCTACTACAGCCTTGACCTGCTGGGCTCAGGCAATCCTTCTGCCTCATCCTTCCAAGTAGCTGGAACTACAGGTGTGCACCACCACACCTGGCTAATTTTTAAAAAATTTATCGTAGAGATGAGGTCTTGCCAAGTTGTCCAGGCTGGTCTTGAGCCCCTGGGCTCAGGCAATCCTCTTGCCTCTGCCTCCCAAAGTGTTGGGATTGCAAGCATGAACCACCACATCCAGCTAGTTCTCTCTTAATGAAAACATCTTCAGACCTATTCCTCACTCCCACAGGTAACTCACACTTAGCTTCCAGTAATTTAACTTAAATCTCATCTATTGTTCTCACCTGTCACCTGAGTTACTTCTTAAATCTCTGGTAGATGTTCCCCTGTGAGCCTGTGCCACCTACACAGAAGTGATCACACTGCTTGCTGTGAAGATCATGGATGCATATGCAATCTCTAACATGTAGTAGGCCCTCAAAAATTATTGGAGAATAGTTAGGGTGAATGATAAAGCAGCCATAGTCTTTTTACTATAAATGGATCCTATTTTATGTTATGACACTATTAATCCAGGATTCTATTCTCCTTCTGAACATTATTTACATTTGATAACGAATAAACTAATTATCGTTGACAGCAAAACGTGTATTCAGCTTCCACAGTCGAAAATGTCAGTTCAAAGCCCTGGCCCCTCTGGACTTTAAGCAATCAGGCAATTTTATTTGTTCTGAGAATTATTAACTGTCCTATCAACGTTAATTCTGACAACACAACATTTTGTGTTCCACTAGCCCTGGCATTTTTCATGAAGTTAAAGAATCGTTTCCCTAGAGTTGAGAGGGTCGGGGGCAGGCGCAGGTGTAGAGGATGCCAGAAACTGCAACACCCTGAGCCCAACTTTAGCCGGCACTCTATCCGTAACCCTCACTAAGATCCGTGTTCTGGACCGGGGCTTTTCGCTTCGGGTGGGCTGCACCTCCCTCCGGCCCCGCCTCCTCACTCAGGCCTGGTCCTCAGCCTCACCTCCACACCCCGGTCCCCCCTCCTAGCTCCAGCCTGATCCTCAGCCCCGCCTCCACACCCCGGCCCCGCCTCCTCGCTCCAGCCTGGTCCTCAGCCCCGCCTCCACACTCTGGCCCCGCCTCCTCGCTCCGGCCTGGTCCTCAGCCCCGCCTCCTCGCTCGGCTCCGCCTCCACATCGCGGCTCCCGTCCGTCCCTTCCACGCATCCTCTAGCTCTACGCTAGCTGCCTCCGGGTCTTGGACCCGCTTCTCGGGCCCGCACTGCGCCTCCCCGCCCCGGCCCAAGCCCCAACCCAGGCCCCGTCTCCCCGTCGCAGTTCGAACCTCCGCTCCGGACCCGCCCGCTTGGGGCGGAGCCGCGCCAGGTGCGGGCCCGAGGCGTGGCCGGCGTCTCGGAGCGCCAGGTGCGGCTTCCGGGTCAAGATGGCCGCCGCCTGCCGCGCCGGGGCCGGGCTCCGGCCGCGCCGTCGCCTCTGCCTTCCTGCTGGGGCCGCACTGCTGCGCGTCGCCCTCTGCCTCCTGTGCTGGGCCCCGGCGTCTGTAGGCGCCGTCCCCGAGCTCGGGGTCTGGTTAGAGACAGTCAACGACGTAAGTGGAGTGTCGGGACCGAGGCGTGGCGCGTCTCGGGCCCTCAGGGCACTTGCGGGGCTCGTTGGGTCCCACGAGCCGAGCTTCGGGCTTGTTCACCTGGACTCTGCCGGGCCTGCTTCGGGCCCCCTGCTACCCTCCCTGAGCGTTTTGTCTGGTCGGAGCGGTGGGCAGGGAGCGCCCCCTTCTCCGGCCCGACCTAGGCAGCCGGGAAGAGCAGGCAAGATTGTGCACGGGACGGCTGTCCCTACTAAGCGCTCTGACTGTCGTGAGCATCGCCGTTCCCGAAGCCCTGGCCCCTCACTCTGCTCCGACATATGCTGGTGACATCAGGACCTCTTATTCAGACCCGAACCCGGAATCTCTCAGCACTCTTAGCCAGCATCTTTGGGATTCGAGTCCTCCTTCTGCCGAGAGGCAGCCACAGGGGCCACACTCCTGAAGCCGCAAGGAGCACTGGCCGGAGCACTGGCCAGCGCTCTAGTTTCGGCATAAACTTAGCGCGTATGCTACTTCCTTATATTTATTTTTAATGAGGAGGGAACAGCGACAGTCACCCCACCTCTCTCTCCCTCTTCTTGGGTTCCTGAATTCCTCTACTGCTCCTGTTACAGTTCTGAGACCGTGTGTGTGGAAGCCGGGTGGGATGTGTGATTAGGAAGCGCTTGAAAGGGAGTCTGGAGGCGGGAGTAGGTGGAAACTCTTCTTCCCAGGGCAGGCTATTAGAGAACTTGGCATCCAGTAGTTGGAGGAGATGATGTGGGAGGGTAGAATTATGGAAAGTCTTGCAAAAGACAGACGGGAAGTCTGAAAGAGGCATTATCTTATGCTTCTCTAGGGTCAGATGACTCATTCAGCTGTTTGGGGGTGAGTATTTTCCACATGTATTGAAACGATGTCCACAGTTCTTAAAGGCGAGTCTTATATTTTGACTTCCCTAACCAGTAAAAGAAAGTAGTGTGAAAGGCTACAAATACTTAGCACTACATTCAGAGGAACAACCTAGGTATCTTTCTGGATCTTTAAGACCTAGGGCTGCCTTTTCTTTCAGGATTCTTTTGGGTTGGTGACCTATTTTGTGTGCCAGTTTTATAGCCTGCATGTCTCCATTATTGAATTTCTCTGAACAGGAAAAAGCAAAACTCAGTGAACCGCTCTCATGGTTTCCTGCTGCTACTGTAGTGAATGGGCAAGTGAACCAGCTGTTTACATATTGTTAGACTACTTGAGCATACCTGTAAAGATCTTTGCCAAGTATACTTTGGATGGTCGGGATCCAGAGTCCATGAAGTAAGAGTAACTTTGCTTCCTGCACGAAGAAGAGAAGTTTGCTCCTTGGGTGGTCTGCTTTTTTTCTCATTTTAAGTTGTCAGAAACAGGAAGAGAGAATAGGGCCTTTTACTTTTATTTGTTTTTATTTTTAGATTAGAAAATAGTTTTTTTAGAAAGTAAATTAGAGAGAGAGAGAGAGAAAGAGAGAAAGAGGAGATTCATCTCCCCAAGGTAGAGGAGGGGGCCAAGGCATAAGAGAATGACCTGGCCAAGAGTAGGGCTATTTAAATTTGTAGTGCAAAATGACCAAGAAGTGGTTCTTTTGATTGTAAAAGGTAGCAAGCATTTTGAGCATCTCTGTGTACCATGTACTAAACTGGTCACTGCTTTTGAAATGATGAATTTTAGATCCAGCCCCTTCTCAAGAAGCTCACCCAACAGTAGGGACAACAGATTTATGAATAGATACACATGGCTGTATACAAGGGGGGAAGTCACCTAACCCTGTTTCCTGGAGAAGGTGCCTGCCTGGGTCTTAAAAGATGAGTAGGCATTACCTTGGTGAAGACTGAGGGGAGTAAGACAGCAGCAATGCAAGAAATTCTTGATGTTTCTGCTGCATGAAGTTCTGGCAGGGATCTTCGGGAGGACTCAGGTCACTACTGTCTTCCATACCTGAGTGTGGCCTTGGGCCTGAGTCCAGGGGTCTCAAACTCAAGGACCCATGCTGGCCAAAGCAAATCATGTCATTGAGTGCAGTGAGCTAGGTTCAGGACTGGCGGGTGTAGTGGGGAGTGTTGTGGACTAGAAATTGTATGCCCATTCTGAAGAGATTGCTACCATGTGGCCCCAGCTTACTCTCTTGATATTCTGTGACAAAGTAGGCACAGAATTACCACAGCTCCTTGATTTTTTAAGTGAAGCTGGAATCCATATTTTTTATTATATTGGCTAACCTAGAACTAAAAAAAAAAAAGAAAGACTTCTTGTGGGCTAAATAAACCCCGGGTATCATTTGGATTAAGCCCTAGACTCCCAGTAGCTACTTTAGGGTATAAGTGAAGGTGACCCATTGAAGGGTTTTAGACATAAATGCCAATCGTTCTGGCTGTTATCTAAGGAATTGTAGGCTCAAGGCTGGAGGCAGAGGTATCATTTAAGCTACTACAGGAGTCTGGGCAGAAAATGCTGAGGACCTGAATAAGGGCAGTGATGGCAGGAATGGGGAGAAGGAACTGAGTTTGGAAATTGTGAGATAAAGTAAGCATACCTTGGTGATTGGGTGATAGATGTGAGAGACTAGAAGGAGCCATGGCTTAAGTTGGTACTACTTCCAATCAAGGTGGATAAAATTGGAAGAGTTGGTGGACAGAGTGGACTTTGGTTTAGGGCAGGTGAGTGTGTTGTGTCTGTTGGACATCCCAGCGAATGTGTCCTCTAGGCATTTGGGTATGTTGATCTGGAATGCAGAAGAGGGATCTGGGTGGAAATTTTATTGTTGAAATGCTTTGGGAGTGGGAAGAAGTTACCAACTGTTCTATCAGTGTTTTTTTAAAAAATTCCTAAGCACTTGTTCATTTAATGCAGTCTCTTCTCACAGGATTTTTATTCCCAGGGAGGGAAGACATTAAGTAACTAATCAATGACTTGATTTTTTAATTTTAATTTTAATTTTTTGAGTTGGAGTCTCACTCTGTTGCCCAGACTGAAGTGCAGTGGCACGCTCCCGGCCACCGCAGCCTCGACCTACTGGGCTTCAGCGATCCTTCTGCCTCAGCCTTCCAAGTAGCTGGAACTACAGGCACGCGCTACTGTGCTCAGCTAATTTTTGATTTATTGTAGAGATGAGGTCTCACCAAGTTGCCTGGGTGGGTCTTGAACCTGTGGGCTCAGGCAATCCACTCACCTCAGCCTTCCAAAATGCTGGGATTACAGGCTGAGCCACCTAGCCCGGTCAATGACTTGATTTTAATTGTGATAAGAGTTGTGAAGGATGGATGCTAGAGACCAGGTAAGGGAGGGCCTAGCCTGTTGTGGGCTGCAGTGAAGAATTCCTGAGGAAGGGACTTTTGAGCTGGGCCTTGAAGGCTGAGAAATTACCAACTAGATGAAGGAGTGAGAGAGGATTTTAAAGTAAATTTTCAGGTTGATCACTAAGGTCCTGAGAACAGGAAGAAATATCATGCTTTTCAGGAACTGAAAAAAAAAATTGCTAGGGAGGTGGGCAGGCCTTGATTATTCAGGGTCCTATAGACCAGGAGTCCTCAGCCACTGGGCCGCAGACCAGTACCGATCTGTGGCCTATTAGGAATGGGGCCGCAATGCAGGAGATGTGCGCTGGGTGAGAGCAGAGCTTCAACTACTGTCAGATCAACAGCAGCAGTAGATTCTCATAGAAGCAGGACCCTATTGTGAACTGCGCATGTGAGGGAGGTTGTGCACTCCTTATGAGAATCTAATACTTGATGACCCCATCTCCCCCCAACCCCTGCGGAAAAATTATCTTCCACAAAACCAGTCCCTGATGCCAAAAAGGTTGGAGACCACTGCTGTATACACTGTGGTGAGAATTTTGTAATAGTAATGGTAAACTATAATAAATTGGGGTAGGGATAGTTGTTTATCAAAAGTGCATTCTTGTTGATGCCAAGAAAGTAGCATGCAATTGCATAGACAGTCCATGTCATGTCTAAGTAACATTAATCATGCAATGGCAGCAGCTTGTGCCTTTCACGTGTCATTGCCCCAGCTGAAACTGCTAGAAGCCCTTCTGATCTTCACATCAGCTGCTGGGGGTAGATACTACTTGGGACAAGGTTTTAAGCAAGTGAATGATGTGATCAGATTTACGTTTTAGAAAGCTCTGGTCAGAGGGAGTAGTGCAAGGAGTAGAACTTTGTATGTTGTAGGATAAAACTAATTTTAAACAGTAGAGAAATAATTTTTTAACAAGATATTTCTGTATTTGTTTTTTATTTAGAAATCAGGACCTTTGATATTTAGGAAAACTATGTTTAGCTCTACTGATATCAAGTTTTCTGGTAAGTGTAATATAGTAATAGAATACTACTAATATGATAATATAAGCATAAAACAATGTAATATGTTATAAACAAATGCATTAATATAAACTAATGTAACTATATATAATAAACTAAGCAAATGTTTTGTTGTTAAGTGGTCCTAACATTTTAAGATTTACTTTTGTTTCTGTCAGGACTTGATTATTTGCAAGAATAGACTTTTCTGATCCTCTTTCAGAAAATAGAATATGAATCATTCTTTAAATATTACAATTAGACTGTGTGTAGTGATGGCTCACACCTGTGTAATCCTAGCACTTTGGGAGACCAGGGCAGAGGAATCACTTGAGACCAGGAGTTCAAGACCAGTTTGAACAATAGAGCAAGATCCTGTCTCTACAGGTTTTATTCTTTATTATTTTTATTTTTAAGACAGAGTCTTGCTCTGTTATCCAGACTGGAGTGCAGTGGCACAGATATAGCTCACTGTAACCTTGAACTCCTGAGCTCAAGTGATTCTCTCACCTCAGCCTCCTAAGTAGCTGGGACTATGGTCACATACCACCATGCCTGGCGAATTCTTTTTTTTTTTTTTTTTTTGTAGAGAAGGGGTCTCACTATGTTGCCCAGGCTGGTCTTGAACTCCTGACCTCAAGCAGTCCTCCTGGCTCATCCTCCCATTGTGCTAGGATTACAAGCATGAGCCACTGCACCTGGCCTTAAGAACTGGGTGCTCCCAGCTACTCGGAGTCTGGCTGGAGTGGGAGGATCACATGAATCAGGGAGGTCAAGACTACAGTGAGCTATGATTGCATCACTGTACTCCAGCCTGGATGACAAAGTGAGACCCTGTTTCTTAAAAATAAGACTTTGAGTTTCAGATTTTAAAACTAGGTACATTGTTTTTATGAATATACAAAGTGTCATGATTGTGACAAACCTAATATGTCCCTGAAAATTTTCTAAATGTACATAATATAGTATGAAATTGCTGTACGCTAACACTTTAATTACAGTTTTAGGGTTTATGAAAGTTAAAATAGCTGGGTACAGTGGCTCATGCCTGTAATCCCAACACTTTGGGAGGCAGAGGCAAGAATATTGTCTGAGACCAGCATGGACAATTTGGCGAGACAATAAATCAAAAAATTAGCTGGGCATGGTGCACGCCTGTAGTTCCAGCTACTTGGAAGGCTGAGGCAGAAGGATCACCTGAACCCAGCAGGTTGAGGCAGTGGTGACTGTGAACATGCCATTGCACTCCAGGCTGAGCGACAGAGACTCTGACTCAAAAAAAAAAGAAAGTTAAAATATCTTTTTTGTGTAAATACTGAGATACCAGGACTACCAAGGTTTTTCAGTGTTTTTAGTGATTTTACATTGGATTTTATTCATTGTGATCTCTTGTTGTTTCTAGTAACTTGACCGGAAAAATTGGTTGCTAGAATTAAAGTCTCAAGATAAGGGTTAACTTTCACTGGTTAGATGAAACTGGCTTTCCCAGTGTCCAAAGCCATGCCCTTTTCTCTATCACACCATCTTCTGATCATCTGTTGGGGGCGACTCTGCCTTTTGTGGGTCTTTCCTCAGGGAAGTTAGACCAGCCAGCTGACAGCCAGAACGCAGAGGTGACTTAGAGCAGCTCTATAATATAGAGCATCAGTGGTGATAAGAGCTTGGTAAGAGGAAACTGAAGTCCAAGGTGGGCGAAGAAAAAATTTTGGCATCTGTTTGCTTTAATGAATTCATGTCTCAAAGTCTTGCCAAATAGGATTTAGCAGAACCTCAGACTGGTGCCAACTAAAAGTTATATGGAAGAAGAAGAAGTAATGTGGGCCACTGAAATTTGATTAAAAAAATTATTACAAATGCCTGTGACTAGCCTAAGAGGAGACTATAATCAAGACAGTATTATTAACTTATCTAAGGAAAGACTAGGGTGGCACAAAGGGATTTAAGAGCAAAAGCATAACAAAACTAGGGTTTAGTCAGGCAAAAGCTGGCAGTGTCCAACAGCTTTGTTGGGGTGGAGGTCTTCTTGAGTGACATGTGGCTGGCCGGTGTGGATGCAGTATCCACCTGAGCCTCCTTGTTCTGGTGCCAAGTTTAAACCCAAGCAACCTTCTTATTGCCATTGGGCTTCCAGGAAGGCATGCTGAAAGGAGAACTGGACAATTGTTACACATCCAGTTTGTAATTTCTGTTCATTACAGGTGAGTAATTGAGCATTCTATGTCAGTGATCTGGGGAAAGTGTGAGATGAGTATCTGTGCTCTCAGAGCCAGATTTTAGTGCCTGCAAGGCTAAGGAATGGTCCCCTGGATATACTTGCTGTTTATGGGATCAGACATCTGACTTTCATATTGGTGACCCCACTTTTGTTATTCCATTCAAGGTATAGTCATGTGGAGCCTGTGTTGAATATTTCTCAGTGTAATTCACCATATTAACAGAATATAAGAAATATACCTCATGATCATCTTTATATATACAGAACAAGTATTTGAAAAAAAAAGAACACTGATTATGCTAGAAACTCTGAGAAAACTAGAAATAGAAGGAAACTTCCTCAACCTGATAAAGAGCATCTGTGAAAAATTTACAGCTAACCTTCGTACTGTCAGTTCTCCCCAGAATGATCTATAAATTCAGTTTAATCCCAGTCAAAAATCCAAGCAGGATTTTTGTTTAGATGATGGATATTGTGAATTTTACATTCTTGAGTGCTAGATGATATTGTAGTCCTTTAACAACTTTGTTCTAGCAGACGTCTAGTTTCTTCTGGGTCCATTCGATCCTTTCCAGTTTTGTTTTTAAGTTATTTTAGGAGGAATCTGGAATAGCCTTTACTCTAGGGCTAGCTTAGCAGTACTTCTGTGATGTGGTCTTCCTAATTCTCTTTCATATCCTTGGTATATTTACTGAAGTCTCTCCACTGTGGCTGGTGGAAACTCATACCATTTCCAGCTCTGTGTGAGCTCTCTGCAGCTTCCATCTCTTGGGTATTCTGCCTCAGAAAATTTATCGGCCTTGCCTCTTGAACTTCAGTTTGGGTTCCCTCTTTGTGGTTACCAGCTTTTAAGATGATGCCCAATGATCCTTGCCTTCTGGTGTTCATGACCTTGTGTCGTCCTCTACCACTCACAGTTGGTCTAAGTGACCAATAGAATGCGGCAGAAATTATGGCATATCACTTCTAAGGCAAGGTTATAAAAGATACTGTGTCTTCTTTGCTCTCTTTCTGTCATTTTTGAGTACATTCCCAACAGAGCTTTCTCTCACTCCAGACTTTTAATCCTTTTCAGTCTGTCTAATCAATCATGTCACCCTTTTACCTGGATCATTTGATGGTGCTTCATGATGTTGAAAATAAAGGCCAAACTCCTCAGCAGAGCATAAGACCTCTCATGGGTCTTCCCCAGCTTCCACTCTTCCCCCTTTCCCCAATCTGAGTTCTAACCATAGGAGACTATTTTCAGGTGGTCATACCCCTGCTGTGCTCTCATATGCTGGGCATTTGTTTGTACCAATCCAACCTTCTCTTCATCTGGCTAACTCTTACTCTTCTTTCAAGTTATAGGTCTCTTCTTCCAGCAAGCCTTCCTGGAACTTGTTCTTATGCTCTTCCAGGCTGTTAAGTGACCTGCCTGCTTCTCCTGTGACACACCTTCTTCTCTAGGCTATGTTAAGTGACCTGCCCAGTACTTCCTTGATACCCTATTCTCAGCCCCTTAGACTATTGAAAGTGCCTGTTTATTGTTAACACACCCTCCCCCAATACCTCTTAAGCCATAGACAGGGATTGTTCTTGTTTCTGTTGTCTCTCTCTCTGGCACACAGCAGGACACTCATTCAATGTATTTTAAATGAATGAGTGAGTGAGAAGAATATTTTGAGTGAAACAGGCAGTGACTTAGCATATCAAGCTACTCAGTTGATTTTAACTTTGGACTTATAGATGAAATGAATAGTATTATAGCAACTTTGAGTTAACTATAGTAATTTAATGAATTTATCTCATTTTGCAGTGACTTTTTGGAAAAATTAAATATTGTTTATTCATTGTTACATTAAAGTAGCCTGTTTTAAATTGCATTCTCAAAACCATAAGTTTATATTAGAATATATATATTATTAATGTAAAATGAGCCCTTTTTCCCTAAACAGTTAAGTCATTCAGTTGTTCCGGGCCTGTGAAGTTTACCATACAGTGGCATTTGAAGTATCATACCTGTCACAATGAATTTTCTAATCTGGAAGTAAGTAAAATACATTCTTTAATGTACATAAAGCTAAAAGGGACAAAGTTATGAGTATAAAGATTTATTAGCTCATCAGGTAAGGAGGATAGAAATAGAGATGATAGTTTTAGAAGTGCCACAGATTAATTTTGGAATTTAAGGCAATAAATCAAGGTATATGCTTTCAGAGAAGACTTTGTTTCCTTGTGAGTATCGTATGAAAAATGTTAATAAATGTTTTAACTCAGACATGTAGGAGCTGTTCATAAAGAGACTGTACATACAAATACAAATCAACTTAATTTGAGAAAGAAGTGTAAAAGTAATCCAGTGCTTTGGGAGGCCAGGGTGAGGAGATTGCCTGAGCCCATGGGTTTAAGAACAGCCTGGGCAACTTGGCGAGACCTCATCTCTACAATAAATCAAAAAATTAGCCAGGTGTGGTAGTGCGTGCCTGTAGTTCTAGCTACTTGGAAGGCTGAGGCAAAAGGGTCACCTTAGCCTAGCAGGTCGGCGCTGGGGTAGCTGTGAGCGTGCTACTGCTCTCCAGCCTGGGTGACGGAGTGAGACTCCAACTCAAAAAAAAATAAAAGTTTCACTTCATTAAATTAGTTGTAGGGAACCTAGGGACTTTAGATCTCGCTGCGTACAGGTAGATCTCAGAAAGATTTGAGGTGAAGAAAGGAGACATCTGGGGAAGACAGAGAGTGAGAGAGGAAGAGAAACGTGGGCGTGCTAAGAACAGTTCATTCCACCCCAGGCTCTGCAGCCTGGGTTCTTTCCTAATGAAGTGTGTTCTGGCTCCTTTTGTCACTCAGCAAGATGTTTTTTTTCTTTTTTTTTTTTTGATGATTCTTGTTATGGTTGCTTGGAATTTTGTCCTTTTCAGCTCCTCTGTTATCTATTTGGATTCTAGCTTGAATAATGTATGAGTTTTCATATTTTTATTAGTATTATCTTTCTGTTTGGAGTGAAAGATGCCATTTTCCTAGAATACTTACTGCCTTTTTTCTTTGTTCCTGAATATTTTACCCCTTCACACTAAATACTTCAGTGTGCATTTCCCAAGAACAGAGATAGTCACTTATATTACATAGTGCAATTACCGAATTCAGGAAATATAGCATTGATACTATACTGTTAAGTGGTATGTAGACTTCACTCAAATTTTGACAATGTCATAATAATGTCTTTTATAGCAGTTTTTTTCCTGCTATGGGAACCAACTCAGGGTTTCATGACATACCCCTTTCTTGTTTTTATTTTTAGTGGCTCATAATCTGGAACTTTTTTTTCCTTTTTGGTCTGTCGTGACATTGATATTTTTGAAGTATACAATCCATTTACTTTTGCAAAATATCGCTCAATTTGAATAATTCTGTTGTTTACTCAGGATGAGATTCAGCTTATACATTTTTGGCAGGCATACCATAGAATACTGATTTGTTCCATTTTTGGTGATGTTAATTTGATCCGAGGTCTCTTCCAGGTTTCTCCACTGTGGAGTTACTATATCTCTTTTTGTTATTAACAACAATCTGTGAGGACATGCTTTCAAAGCTACGTAAATATCCTGTGTTTTTTTTTTTTTTTAAATCAAACCTTCAGCTACTTGTTTTAGTATCCTCATGATTCCTGCCAGATGAGTCAGTCATTGCTGTGTGATTGCTGCATGGTGATTTTCTAATTCCATGTTCTTGTCATTTTTTTTTTTTTTTTTTTTTTAGTTGGAGTCTCACTCGGTCACCCAGACTGGAGTGCAGTGCCCGCTCCCGGCCACCGCAGCCTCGACTTGCTGGGCTCCGGCGATCCTTCTGCCTCAGCCTTCCAAGTAGCCGGAATTACAGGCATGCGCTACCATGCCTGGCTAATTTTTTGATTTATTGTAGAGATGAGGTCTTGCCTGCCCAGGCGGGTCTCGAACCTGCGGGCTCAGGCAATCCACTCATCTTAGCCTCCCAAAGGCGCGGTTTACAGGCTGAGCCACCGAGCCCAGCTTCTTGTCCATTTTTATTAGCGTTCTACTATACAGATGAACTCCCCCTGTCCCCCTAACTATCTAGCTTACCTGTTAGTCAGTCTTTGGATTGGACTCATTGATTTTTTTTTTTTTACTTTGTTATATGGGCTGTAATCTATCACTGTTTTAATTTTGTTCGCATTGTCCCATGTTTGGTCTGTGGGAGCCAGCTTAACTTTTTGATGGCTGGGAGCTGCCATTAGAATCCTGGCTTATTCATCCATTCTAGGATACAAAGAACCTGAGGTTGTTGATGTATATAAATGAGTGTCTCCCCTGCACTCTATTGGGTTAGTTACTTTTGCTTTATGTTACTATTTAATTTCTCCTTCTTTGTAGTTTAATGCTATTTTCTTTCTCTGTAAAATCTCTTACACATGGGATAAAATAAAAGCAGTCCCAGGACAAAGTAAGTTTTCTTTCTCTGGAAACTATTTCCCTGTGGAAATATCCTAATCACTTTCTTTACTGTAAGATATTGCTTATATCATGTATTACTGTATCTGAGCACTTTGGAATGGCTAAAATGTTATAATTACCTCAGTTATCCTTAGATTATATTCAAATCCTTTTTTCCTTTGGTATTTTATTCTACTGCATATTTTCAAGTATTCTAGGCTAATTAAACTTTTGTTATTATTTAGATATTAAGTTTTATGTATATTCTAGAATAAGAAGTGTAGAAATAAATTATAATACAGAGTTTTACCTTGGGTAGGACTTGTTCCAGAAACATGAACTTAGTGTTGATGAAGATTTTTGTGATCATTATTTCAAGAACATTGACTGTTGGACAACAAAAAATGAAAACATAGATTGCAACAGTGATTTACAGATGTTTCCTTCATTAAATGTAAGTATCTGTCTTGCCATGTTAAAGTAGAATTTATTTTATTCCCAGTGAATACATAAGTGAAATAACATTCTATCAGTATTTTGATAAAGGTACTTAATTTGTTAATGTTTAGTTTTAGCTTTGTGTGTATGTATGTAGTGGTACATAGTAAGTAAGATATTAACACCATCGTTCCATTTCTTTGCACCCCATCATAGAAGCATCCTTGCAAGAATCTTTCATGATCTCTTATCCCCAATTCAATCAAGTCTTATTCTCTTCTGTCCACTGCAGTTCAGATCTTTTGCCTCCAGCATTCCATCTGAACAGCTTTAGTCAAAGTCACCAATAACTTTCATGTTTTTAAACTTTCATGTTTTTAAATCCAGTGATCTGTTTCTGCCCTCAGAGGTCTTGACTTATCAGCTTTTAACACACTTGAATACACTCTCCTCTTTTATGCCCTTACTCCCTCCAAGTGAGGGAGATTAGATTCTAGAAGGGTAACAGCAGTCATCCCTGGGCAGTGAGGTTATTGAACATTTTAACTTACTTTTTGTTCTTCTATAAATTCTGAAGTGAAAATATGTCTTCAGGAAAAGTTTTAAGTTTTTATAAAATGTGTTGAACATGTATACAGAAAAGTGCACCTAAGTGTACATATACCTCGATGAATTTTCAAAAACTGAGCCCAGTGATGTAGACCCAGATTAATCAGAACATTTGAGCACCTAAGCCCTAAGTTTAGTTCCTGACACTTTCCCCATCAATGGCAACTAGGTTCTCATTAAGGAAGTAATTTTTCAAAAGCAAAATTTTGCTAATTGTGTTTGGAATACAGTGAGATTTGTTCTCTGCTGTTCAGTTTTCATTTCTTTATTTTTTAACATTTTTTTTCTTAATTATTTAAACTATTTTTCCTGATAGAAATGCTGTGATACTAAATGGAATGATTTATTCTTTTTTGCAGAATAAAGAACTAATGACAGATAACAGAAATGTTTCAAACCGGGAAGGATCAATGGTAAGTCTTTTTATTTGTCTTTAGTAAGACTGAAAAAAAAATCTGCTAATGGATAGATACTTGGAGAGTGATATACAGTAGCATTATTGGAATTGCAAAAGAAAAAAAGTATTTTTAAAAAATTTAATTTAATTTAATTTTAAAAGTATTGGGTACAATTCAGGGTTAGGTATACAAATGGTCATTATGCAGGTACTCTTGTTGAGGAAGTGTGCTCCCCTGGCAGTTTCCCACTACTGCCAATCCCTTTCTTATGATAATTGTTTAAGGGCCTCTTATTAGCGAGAAGTATTTAAAACAATATATTTTCTTATATATGTCGATCTATATTTTGTATATACTGTTTCTATCTTTGTTTAAAAATCTCTTAAAAGTTGTAATTTATAATAAACTTAAATGCAGCCTTTCTTTTCTTTAAGAAATAAAACCCCATGTCCAAATGTTCAAGACAGCATAGTAATGACCTGCTGTCATCATTAAGAATTTAAAGAAATAGAAGCCATGAATGTAAAATGGGAAAGTTTTGGTATTTTGGGGAATTATAGAAAGTCACAAGACTAAGAGTTTGAGAGTTTAGGAGCTAACTGAAAGCCGGTTTAAGAGAGTTTGATGTTTGCTTTTATACTGTGATTCTTCACATTTTCTCTTCAGCCACCTTTAAGAAAAGTCTGATAAGGAGAAGTCATTTATTCTGCAGTGGCCAGGATGAACTCTGTACAAAATCTGTCTCAGGTAGAGGAGTAGGTAATGAAAGGAAGGGATGGGAGGTATTCAGGAAGGTAGACTATGAAAAGTTTGGTCCAATTATGTGGGGGCATTGAAGGACTTATGAGCATTGCAGTGGGCAGTGTTTTTCCTTAGTTGGAAGAAAGTAACATAGTATCTTAAGGAATTTGAATCATTTTGCCTATATATGTAATTTGAGTCATTTCTGACAATGTTATCTGACTTCCTCTTCCAATTCAATTTTTAAAAAACATATTTAATTACAATGGAAATGTTTAATAATATTAGGACACCATATGAGAAGAGTAATATTAGAAAAATATTTGAATGCTAATATTAAACAATACATGGAATGTATATTAGAGGAACCTGTACCAATATTAAAGGTAGAAATCTGGGAGGCGGAGGCGAAAGGATTGCCTGAACCTGGGAGTTCGAGACTTCATCTCTACAGTAAATTAAAAAAATAGCTGGGCGTGGTGGTGCACATCTGCGGTTTCAGCTACTTAGAAGGCTAAGGCGGAGGGATCACTTGAGCCCAGCAGGTTGAGGCTGCAGAGGCCATGAGCATGCCACTGCACTCCAGTGTAGGCAACAGAATGAGACTCTGACTCAAAAAAAAAAAAGTGGAAGACATTGAAGAGGGAAAAAAACGTTTTTTTCCTTCACCCCTTTGGGTCTGAGAGGATGGTGGTTAAAAAATAGGGAAGATATCTATCCTTCCACTGCCTGCCATTCCTTTTCTCTGTTTTGTTTGTTTTTTAAAGTAACCCAATCCAGTTACCAAACGTTATTTTAACTTTGGTGAACAATTGTTTAGCTGTGTCTTATATAGTAACTTATTAAAAATAACCCGAAGCACTTTTTTTTCCCTACTTTAGGATGTTGTAGCCAGAACACAGAAAGATGGGTTTCATATCTTTATTGTTTCTATTAAAACGGAGAAAACAGATGCAAGCTGGAATTTGAATGGTATAGTTAAACTCCATACGTGTTTACTGTCTGCATTTTCTGTATTCTGTATTTTTGTTATTGACCTGAGTTAGTACTCTCTGTTATAAGCATATCATTCAAACATGAATTTCTATTAATCACATATTTATTTTGGGGACTAAGACTATATATTTATCTTGACACTAATATTTATTTTTTTAATGAGTTGAAAATTTTACTTATTTATTTATTTGTTTATTTACTCTGAGTCAAGATCTCACTCTGTCTCCCAGATTGGAGTACAGTGGGTATGATCGCAGCTCACTGCAGCCTTGTCCTCCTGGGCTCAGGCAATCCTCCCATCTCACCCTCCTGAGTAGCTGGGACTACAGGTGTGCACCACCATACCTGGCTAATTTTCTGATTTTTTTTGTAGCTATGAGTTCTTGCTATGTTGCTCAGGCAGGTCTCAAACTCCTGGGCTCTAGCAGTTCTCCTGCCTTGGCCTCCCAAAGTGCTGGGCTTACAAGCATAAGCCACTGTACCTGGCCTCCTTGTTCATTTTATAATTGGTTTTTTTTTTGTTTTCTTGCTATTTAGCTGTTTGAAATCCCTTATTAATGTATGGCTTGCAAATATTATCTCCTAATCTGTAGGTTGTCTCTATACACTGTTTCTTTTTTTTTTCTTTTCGGTTTGATATAATCCCACTTGACTGTTTTTCCTTTTGTTGCCTGACTTTTGGGGTCAAATCCAAAAAAATCATTGCTCAGACAATGCTATATAGTTTTCCCTCCATGTTTTCTTCTAGTAGTTTTAAAGTTTCTGGTCTTACAGTGAAGATACCTTGATAAGATTACTTAAACAGTTACTAATTATCTAATACCCTGTTTGCGTTAGGTAGAAATTTAGCATGGTTTGCATTCTTGGAGTCTTCTAGGAAATTAACTTACATCTAGGGACTTAAGACTGATTGTTAATTAACTCTTTCATTTCTTCTCTATCCCTACTGCCAATGCTACCAGTTTCTCTTTCTATGATTGGGCCTCATGGATATATCTCTGCATCAGATTGGCCTCTGATGATTGTGAGTACTTCACATCATTTTCTCCTTTTTAAAAAGTGACTACTGAGTCTTAATTGGAAAATTTAAAAATTTTAAGAACTTGGTGGTAGTAATTCCTTAGTAGCTAATGCTCCAGCATATCCTCTGTTTCTGTTTCCAGAGTGACTAGAAAATGAAGGTTGAATACTTGTATGTAGAAATACCAACTTTCAAATGATCAAAAGGCTTAACTGACTAGAATTGCTTCTCTTCCTGCAGTTTTACATGGTGATGTGCATTGTTTATATCTTATATGGCATACTCTGGCTGATGTGGTCTGCTTGTTATTGGAAAGATATATTAAGAATCCAGTTCTGGATTGCAGCTGTTATTTTCCTAGGAATGCTTGAAAAAGCAGTTTTTTATAGTGAATACCAAAACATCAACAGCACTGGCCTATCAAGTAAGTTTTGACCATCTTCATCAATACAGTGTGAGCTAAGAGTTTTCCAGCATTTGTGAGCAGGGCTATGGGAGGCCACCTCCATACAGGAGTTTGGAGATAGCCATGTTACAGTTGGAGAGGAGGCCAAGGAGAGAATGTCAGGGTAGGAATCTGCTCTGGGCTTACATGCGTGTTCTACTCATTTTCTGGTTTTCTTCTTGATGACTTTCCCCTCACCTTCTTGATGACTATCCCCTCACTTTTTTAAAGAAAATTCCCATTTCTTAAGGTTCAGCTTGGATTAAAACAATACAAAGTTCTAGACAGCAGGACTTCAGGTACTGTCAGTTCTTTTCACACATTCCCCACCCCTCTCACCCCCCAATCTTCTTTCTTCTTCTCCACCAAAAAACAAATGAAAGAAAGCTTGACCACAGGGAGTAAAATCAGTGGTGCTGTTATGGATTCTGCCGGCAGCCTTCTTTTGTTCTCCTCCCCTTTCACGTAGCCAAGGGAACGTGTGAGCAGAGAGGGCAGATAGTTGGACGTCCTTGAATGTGTACTGCAGACTTTTAGAGGGTAGATTTCAAAAATTCCAGAAAAGTAAATGTACGACTCTACCACTGAATCTTTGGGAAGGTACATAGCTCAAAAGAGTTGAAAATGCTCAAGAATGTACTGAGCGCTCATTTACTAGTGATCTTGGTACAGATTTTCAAAGGGCATGGTTGTGTCTGCTATTTATTTCAAAATACTCCAGGAAAAAAAGTGAGCTGGAATATAGATAAAACAAATTTGGCATAATGTTTTTTGGTTTTTTTTTTTGAGTTGGAGTCTTACTCTGTCGCCCAGACTGGAGTGCAGTGGCCGCTCCCGGCCACCGCAGCCTCGACCTGCTGGGCTCCGGTGATCCTTCCGCCTCAGCCTTCCAAGTAGCCGGAATTACAGGCATGCGCTACCACGCCTGGCTGATTTTGTGATTTTATTGTTGAGATGAGGTCTCGCTGCCCAGGCGGATCTCGAATCCGCCGGCTCAAGCAATCCACTCACCTCAGCCTCCCAAAGGCGCGGGATTACAGGCTGAGCCACCAAGCCCGGCTTGACATAATGTTAATTATGGAAGCCGAGTGATGGGTACATAGGAGTTCATTTTACTACTTTTTCTCTGTTGAGGAGTATTTGAAATTTCCCAAAATAAAAAGTTTAAAGGGACGTGTACCAAAAAATAAAGAAAAGGCAAACTTCTAGGAATGCATATCTGAGATATTATTACTCTATAGGAAGTCTGGGCGGTTTTTCTTTTTTGAGAAACTTCTGCCATGAATCTTCCTTTTTTCTTCTCTTCTTCTCTCTAATAAACTCTGTTTTAAAACTTTGAAAAAATAAGTTTGTATGGGGGGTGTGTGTGTGCCTGCACGTGCATGCGTGCATGGGTGTGCATCCTAAACCAGATCTGCTGCATAGAATCAAAGGATTCCCAAATGTGGAAAAGGCATCTGAGAGCCTTTGCTGATAGTGGTGGTGGTCTCTTGTCTAGTGAGAGTAAAGGTGGGGCATGAACTTTAGTGAGAAGCAGCAAAAGCCTGAGCTCCATGAAGAGATGATAGGACATTTGTCATCCTCAGGGAATAAGAACCCTCTGGGATGGCACTGGAGGCCTTGGAAGAGAAACCTAGACCACTGTCGGTGTCTTTGAGGAGTCCTGTCTAATGGGAGATGTGTAGGAAAAGTGGGCATGAACTGATGTCCTTTCTGGTCTTCCCAAGTGGGAATTCTGTACATGGAATGTCTTGCTCAGCATTGATCCTGGAAAGATCAAATGTTGAAAAATCATTAAAGGAATGGGAAGCAGTGATTGTTAGGATTTACCATGCCTACATGAAGAATAGATCATGTCAGATGACTTTCTTTCTTTTGGGCTGCTAGATTGGCAGTTAGGAAAATGTAATAAACTTAGTGTAACTGGACTTCTTCAAGGCACTGGATAAGATCTTCTGTGATTTCTTGTGGACAAGATGGAGAAGTATGAGCTGAAAACTGGTGGTGCCACCATATCTAAAGAGTTTATGCAGGTAGTCACTTGTTAGTCTTGTCAGTCTAGAGCTATGCTGTCCTGTATGGTAGCCACAAACCACATCTGACTATTTAAATTAAGTTAAATACAACGAAAAACTTAGTTCCTCAGTTGTAGTCTCAAGTGCTCAGTAGCCACAGGTGACCAGTGGTTACTGTATTGGACAGCACAAATGTAGACTATTTCTGTCATCACAGAAAATTCTATTGGATAACACTGGTTTGGAGCAATGGTTCTCATCCCTGGTTTTACGTGAGCATCACTTGAAGAACTTTACAATGATACCAGTGCCATAGATTCTGACTGGGGTAGAGCTGGGGATTGGTGTCTGTTTAGAAGCTTCCCAGATGATCCTAATGTGCATATAGGATTGCATACCACTGAGATAGAAGAAAGTTTTGAATTATGTCTGTCTCACAGATTTTAGTCCTTGTTTCTGTTTTATTCTTGTTGGAAATCCATTGGTTTGTTCAACTAACATTTATTGTTCAACTATATATGTATAGATAGACCTTTTTCACCTGAAGATACGTAATGGGAGACAAAAAGATTTGGCATCCTAAATAAAAGGGTGAAATTTAAAGTGTAAGATCTTGAACTTGGATTTGAAGTATGAGTTGCAAAAATGCTGATGGAAAAGTTTTAAAAGGAATTTAAAAGTTGAAGCCAATAAAAAGCAACCTTACATAGATAATAAAAGGATGGTTGCCTCCCACAAGCTTCCATAATCTTAAATTGCAGCAGGAGCTGGGGAAAACTTGGGAGCCTTGCTTTGCAGGTCAAGTTGTACCAGAAAGGTTGTATTCACATTACTTCAGGAAGGATATAGACAACTCCTGGAGGGGTTGAAACTGCATCCATCCTTAAACATTTGTGGTCTTAAACCCCTTCTTCATATCCTGTTCTTTCTTGGAGAACTCATCCAGTGTCTTCTTCCTAACGAATTCTCTACTGCGGAGATCTCTATCCTGAGGTATAGGCCTGTATATCCAGTTTCCTACTAAATGCCTGAGATGCTTTGCAGATCTCTCAGTCTCCTAATGGCAGAAATGAGACTCATCCTTTCTGTCTGTACTGACTCACCCCACCCCAAGCATGCTGTTCTTCCAAGTGTTCCACTCACTGGGTGGCACTGCCAGTAGACCAGGGCAATCCTTCTTGCCTTCTTCTTCTCCCTCAAGTTCCAGATCTATCTTCAAGGCATTTGACAAGGTCTTTTGTGATTTCTTGCAGACTAGATGGAGCTAAAAACAATGCAAACTGAAAATATTAGGTGAATTAACAACTGGTTATGCAACCACATGTGTTTTCTGAATGTTGTTCTACTCTTCTCCATCTTCACTGCCGGTACTCTTACCTGGATTTCTGGAATAGCTTCCTGGGCATTTTCCTTGCCTGCAGTCTTGTTCCTCTCCAAGCCATTGCAGGTAGAGCAGTCTTGGTAAAATAAAGCCATCCACTATATTCCAGCAGTCAGTAAAAGTAAATCTTTTTGGCTTTGTAGATCATATGGTCTCTGTTGTAACTACTCAGCTCTGCCATTGCAGCATGAAAGAAGACACATAACATGTAAACGAATGGGTATGGTTGTGTTTCAGTAAAACTTTATTTCCAAAAGCAGATGTAAGTCCAGGTTTGGTCCATGAGCTGTAGTTTACTAATACCTTTTTTTACTCCTTTGGTTACAGTTACTGACCTCCTGCTGCCCTGAGCATTGACTCCAGACTGCATAACAGGGCCCTAAACCCCACATGCCTTTATCATTAGCCTCTTTTCTTGACATCTGCCATACTACTGTCTGCTGCAGACATATTAAACTTCCTGCAGCATGTTTTGCTTTTCTTCTTTCATCCTCCAAACCTTTGCTTGTGCCCTTTTCCTTGCTTTGCCCTTCCTCCTCCTATTCCCCAAATACTTAACTCCTCTGTAGCCTTCAAACCTTCAAGTCCTAATTTAGATGTTACTTATTCCAAGATTTTCTGGATCCTCTGGCCTCCCCCAGGTGTGGATTAGATTAGCCTTCTTCCTAGTCTCAGGGATACTCTGTTACTTCTAGAACTTACCTCACTAAGTTCTGTTTACTTGGCTTAACCAGAGTGCAAGCTCCATGAAGACAGGGATCAAGGTGTCTCTTTTACTGTTATAGCCACCCAGTAGTACATTAAGTGAATTCATGATGAAGGCATCCTGGAGAAAAGAGAACTCTAGAGGACATATGGTTTTCAAGTTTATATAGGACAGGAAGAGCTACTTGTGTAGCCTCAAGGGGAAGAACAAGAACAGAGGGAAGTGCAGGGAGACAGATGTCAGGCTAACTTACAAGAGCTGTGCCCAGTAGAGCTGATCGGATAGATGGAAGTGAATTCCTCTTCACTGGCATTTTCAATCATCAGTTGTATTAGGCGGTTTAAATCAAATATGGCTAATTAGTCTGAGATCAGAATGTAGTTGTCTACAGTACATGTCTAGAATCTTGGTTTGCAGACTTTCAGATGTGCACTTAGTGAGCTGTTTTCTTTTTTCCTCCTCAGCCCAAAGTTTACTGGTGTTTGCGGAATTGATATCTGCAATTAAGAGGACGTTGGCTCGCCTCCTCGTGATTATTGTGAGCTTGGGTTATGGCATTGTAAAGTAAGTACTGGTGTGCTGAAAAGATGCCATGTCTTCAGTACAGTGATTCAGTTCATCTATGGTATGACCTTTGTGGAAATGGAAACTTCTCAGTATCATAATGCAAATCCTTTAGGGAAAAATCTTTAAGAAATATTTTTAAAAGATTTCCATGTACTGACTGTTTTATCTTTAAATAAAGATCTTGACTTTGAATTCTAGTAACTTTTTATAGTTAGGTGAATAAATAATCAGCTTGAAGAATAATGGAAAATTAAAGTAATTCTTGAAGTTCAAACCATTTTTGAGTCTTCTAGACTGTATAGTTAAGCTTTTAAGATTGTATTTGAGTATTGTAAAAAAAGAGTGAATTAAATCAGTAAAAATTTCTGACTGTAACCTGAGAACTAAAACCTCTGCCCCCTGAGGACTCTGCTTCTTCTGTATCCTTCTTCTGAGACTTTTCCTCCTCATATCTGTGTATCACTGGGCACGAATATGGGAGAAATTGTCCTCTTTATCCTCATTGCTTTTTTCAGAACTTTGCTCTTCCTTCTTCCCTAAAACCTCTTGATTCCCAGAAGCTCAAGCCTTTAGACTGGATCACCTGCTGCATCTTCTTATTGTGGTCACCTGTGAACTTCCAGATTTCTCCCTCATCCTTTAGCTCTGTGGTCACCTGCTTTATCTTCTTCCTTCCAGCATTTTCTCTGTCGGGATTCCCTACGATTTTAGCAACATATGGATGACATTTTAAGTAGCACCTCCTCACCTCTCCTGCTCTTGCCTTTTGCCTCATTTCAGCAACTGATTCCCATGGTCATTTTCTAGACCTTGTTATTATGTATAACTGTTCCCTCTTCATTTTTTTTGTTTTATTTTTGTTTTTGTTTTTTTGAGTTGGCGTCTCACTTCATCACCCAGACTGGAGTGCAGTGGCACTCTCCCAGCCACCACAGCCTCAACCTGTTGGGCTCTGGCAATCCTTCCACCTCAGCCTTCCAAGTAGCCAGAACTATAGGCGCGAGCTACCACACCCGGCTAATTTTTGATTTATTGTAGAGATGAGGTCTCACCAAGTTGCCCAGGCGGGTCTCGAACCCGTGGGCTCAGGCATTCGAGTCATGTTGGCCTCCCAAAGTGCTGGAATTACAGGCTGAGCCACCGAGCCCGGCCCTGTACCCTCTTCATAATCTGAATTTTAAGCCATCTATTTTTCAACTGTCTCCTCCTCTTTCCTATTTACTTTCTCTGATGTCAGCTTCAGTTGTTTTTGACTCTAATGTAGCCTCTGGTCTTTGAGCCTAGCACCCAGCACTGTCCCTTTCCATCTTATGTTTTCACTTTCTTCCTGATGCTTAGATTCCTTGGTTCAGGAGCTTGCTGACACCTCTGCCTTTCTCTTTGTCTTCCTTCTTGGCAACACCACATCCTCAATGAATCCAGCTTTCCATCTGCTTCAGGCTCACCCCCAAGCAGTAGTTTGCTTGAGAAAATCACTGGACCACAGCACCTGGGTTCACTTTGAGTTCATGTCCTTGTACTTTAAGTGTGTCCTTAGTGCTGCTGGCAATTGTACTGGATTTCCTTGCTGATTGCTTTTCTCAACCCCCATCTCTGCAGAGGACCATTTTACTCCTTGTTTCTCCTCAGACCTCCTGTACCCTACCCATTTCCCTCTCAGCTGACTTGATTCTGAGGAAGTAGAAGCCATCCGAGGGAATTTTACTGCATTCCTGCCCTCAGACCTTGTCATTTTCCTCACATCTGTTTTGACCACATGCATCACTTTCTGCCTCTTGTTCATCACAGACCATCTCTGCCCTTATGTCCCCTTATCTGTTAAAGCAACTGCTCACAGTCAGTTCTGTTTTCTCCTGTATCATCAGTTTTCCTCTCTGGTGCGTTACTTTCGTCATCATTTCATTATTTCTATCACCTTTAAAAACAAAGCCCTCCCTTGGCTCCACATGGCCTCTTCTTCTTATATGTCGTTTCTCCTCACCCTGTGTAGCAGAACTTTTCAAATGAGTTATCTGCGCTTGCACTGACAACTCTCTGGCTAAAATTTCTCATCCTCTTTTGACCATCTTCTGGTGAGGTTTTGCCCTTATTACTCCACTGAGACTGCCTTTGTCAAGGTCACTATGCCCTCCCCCTGCAAGATCACGTGGCTCCCTTGGCCATCATCCACTGTCCCGTGAGTAGCTTCAGTCAGGGATACCTGGCTTTGCCTGACTTCCAGGAGTTCATCTTCCCTTCCTCTTCACATCACTGACTGTTCCTTCCTGGTCTTCTCTGCTGAACCCCCCTCATGTTCTCGAGCTCTGGCATTGGGATGCCCCAAGCTCAGGCCTCAGACCTCTGCTCTGTGACTCACTTCTCCACCTCTTGTCCCGTTCAACAGCTCTAACATCAGGGCACATCCGGAATGAGCCGTCCTTGAACCATTGGTTAGGCTTGCTTTCTAACTGGTTTCCTTGCTTTTGCCCTTGCCAATCTTTCTGTACTACAGCAGTTACCAAGATGATCCTTTTAAAATGTAACTCAATTCTTGTTACTGAACTGCTTATTTTACTCAGTAAAACCCAAATTCCCTTCTGTGGTTTTTTTGAAGTGATGCCAACTATTTTTTCTGACTTCATCTCCTACTAGTCTCCCTCTTGAACCTCTGCTCCATCCTGCTGGCTTTCTTGTTACTATTTCTTAAGCATACTTCCTCACAGGGCAATAAATGCCTCTGCCTGCAAGATTCTTCTTCTGATCCTGGGCATGATTTTCTTCCTTCCTTCTTTCAGGTCTCTGTTCCACTGTCACCTCCCAGTGAGGAGAGCCCTGTCAGGATTCCTAACATAGCACTTGCTGTCTGCTACCCTGTCGCCTCATCCTTTTTATAATGCCACTTGAGGTATATAGTCATATTTATTGTCTGTCCCCCCACTCGATGTGTGTCCCTTGGAGTAGGCACTTTGCTTGTTTGTGTCCTTGACAGTGAGGCCCAGGGCAGTCCCTGACACATGGTGGGCACTGTATGAATATGCATTGAATGCGTGCTTGTGTGCCTGTGAACTCAGAATTGGGCAGTGAGCTTGACTTTAGCCAGGAAACCTCTTTTTTTCATTAGACTTTTATTGAGATTCCTTCTCAAATGCTTTTTATGTTGTTAGTACAGTACAGAGAACACCGAGTTCTCTTGTTGGGGAATATTGCAGTATCTTGTAGTTCTGGTTGTGAACACCAGGTACCAGTGAGTATAGTGTTGTTACTGGGAAAGGAATAGGAGATTAAGCCATTAGGTGAGGGCACAAGCCCTTTTTGAATGAATCTTCTCACTGTTAGCATGTTTTGTTCAATGCTACAAAGTCACAACCGTAACAGTTCTGGCTATTTGGGGATTCTGGGTAGCTGGTTATAATGAATCAGTTTAAATTCACTAAATTAGGAGTGGGATTGGTAGTTGAAGGAAACTGCTAAGGGGGGGAGGGGCATACCTCATCAACCAGGGTATCTGCATGATCAGTGTTTGTATACCTAAACCTGAAATGTACCCTACATCTTTATAATAAAAATTAAAATAAAAAAAAGAAAGCCTATGGACAACTCTACAGCCATCAATTAAGCTACTTAGACAAAATGGATCAATCCTATAAAAAACATAAGCTAGCATAACTCAATCTTTTTGAAAGCTTGTATATTGAATTAATATATAAGTTCTATATATCAAGTAAATTCCATTTTCATTTTAAAACCTCAAAAAGAAATAAAATAAATTCACTAAATTAGGTAAATATTCTTAAATATGAGCTTTGACCATTAGTTTAATTTTTACTTAGGTTTTGTTTTAAAATAACTATCTTGAATATTTTTCCAAAACCAGTTTTTTTCCTAATTACTCTGAGAAGAGGATTTTTGAGTGTCCTAAAATGTATTATGTACAATAAATTCTGATTTGCAGACGTCATGAAATTTTCATCTATTGTCAAATTATTAGTAGTAAAAATCACTGTCTTTACATTTTCCCAACTAATTTATATTTTTAAAGAAGCAAAAATGTTATTTTAGCTCTTTTCATTTTAAAGAAAGAAAACTAAATTCTGTTATCTCTGTTGTTTTGGGTATTGAGAGGCAGTGATCAGAAGAGAGGTGGTAGAGTTCTGTCTCCCAATATACTGCTCTTTATCTGCCCAACTCATGAGATCAATGAATTATCTCTAAAAAGACAGATCTCGGGAAGAGTGAAATTATAATCTCTGCCAGTGGCACTTACAAGTTGGCAATTATCTTCCTAGCTTTCATCAGGAAGGTCCTCTTCCATTCTGTAGACGCAGTACCTGGGTAGTGTTCATTATATTGCCTGAATTCCAGCAGCAAAATTTTCTGGCACTTTTGTGACCTGTTGCTTCATGGACATCAGTACAGCTTCAGGTCCTAGAGGAGGAGACCCTTTTTTCCTTGGCCTGTTTTTGATATGTTCATAGGAAATACACTCATGGCTAAAAAAAAACCTCAGAGGCAGAAGCAGACTGATTTGATTAGAGATAGTGACTTTTCTGGTATCAGAAATGGTGCCAGTTACTGTATTCTGGTGTGTTTTACTTACTCATGCTTTTTGGTTTTTTTTCTGTTTCTTCCTCCTCATTCCAGGCCTCGTTTGGGAACAGTCATGCATCGGGTGATTGGATTGGGGCTTCTTTACTTTATCTTTGCAGCTGTTGAAGGCGTGATGAGAGTTATTGGGGTAAAAACAACATAATTCCACTACCATTCCTTTTTGTTGTTCCTGTGAAATGTGATTTTACTTTATGTCTCCTAAGATGAATTTTTAAAGATAGAAAATTTGAACAGGGCCCAATCTGTGATTTTTTTCCTATAGGCTATTTCCTTTTTTTAAAATACTTTCTGAAAGGACGACGCTAGACAGAATACTTCTTAAAATGATATGGTTGATTGTGAAGGCACCACTTGATATCATCCCAGGAATTAGCCCATCCCAGAAATGTTCATGGTTATTCTTTATAAATAACATTTGTCTTTGTCTTTATGCAGTCAGTACATAGTAATATTGCCCTTAACCCTGCATTTAAAAATGTATTGAGTGAATAGAAAGTTAATTACACCTGTTAGGCATATAAGCATTACATTTCATTACTCTTTTTTTTTTTTTAATCTTAGATTCAAGGGGTACATGTGTAGGTTTGTTTCATGGGTATATTACATGATGGTGAGGTTTGGGCTTCTGTTGAGCCTGTTGCCCAGGTGGTGAGCATGGGACCTAGTGGGTGGTTTTTCAACCTTTACCTCCATCCCTTTAGGAGTCCCCAGTATCTGTTCCCACCTTATGACCATGTGTCCCCAGTGTTTAGCTCCTACTTATAAGTGAAAACATGCAGTATTCAGTTTTCTGTTTCTGCATCTTATCACTTTTCTAAGTCTCATTTGATTATCATCTTTTTCTGACTCTTGTGTACTTGCTATTTTGGGAATTTAGCATACCCCACTATTGGAAGAACCAGGAGGAAGTGATATTCATGGGGAAGGTGACTTTGGCCATGTGGGTAGCAGCACTGTATTCTCTAGAGAAGTGTCAGTATTTATATCTGCAAAGACTCCTAGATTCTTCTAGCTTCCGTTTTTATTCGTAAATAGTGGAGGACTGAGTGATTAAGAAATGTATTATATCTTATCCCATTTAAAGAACCTTGTCATTTTACCCAAAATGCCTTTTAGTTTAGGTGCATAAATCAGATCATTGAGTACAGGTTGGTTAATCTATGTGTTGCCACCTAGGTTTACTTCACATATTTTGATCTGACTCTTAAAATAGAACTTTTGTCCAATAATGCTAAAAAGCCTCATTCTTCTTCCTGTTGTCTTGGATATATATACATTCTGTTAGATACACCTGCTCTTTTAATCGTTGAATATATATTTTTTTCACTTTTACACAGTCATAGAGAACTCTGCATTTATTTACATAATTTCCAGGAAATTAATCTTTGCTAGAATTACATAGAAGAGATAACTATGCCACAATAAATATAGTATGTAAATTATATTTCTTTAAAAATTTTAAACTTAGTCAGCATCTTAGTGATTGTTTTAAATATGATTAGAGTAAGGGTCTAATCTACAGTTTGTTTATACCCTTCTACGTGATTCTTTTCCTTTATTTTACTTTTTTTGTGTCCCTTTACAACAGAGTCAGGAAAGATCAGAGGTCCATTTCATTAACAGTGCTGGCTGTAGGTTTGGTAATGAAAGGAGAGAGATTGAAATGGTTAATATTAGGCCTGGCGTGGTGGCTCATGCCTATAATCCCAGCACTTTGGGAGGCCAAGGTGAGAGGATTGCCGAGCTCACTGGTTTGAGACCAGCCTGGACAGCTTGGTGAGACCTCATCTCTGCAATAAATCAAAAAATTAGCCAAGCATGGTAGCACATGCCTGTAGTTCCTGCTTCTTGGAAGGCTAAGGTAGAAGGATCACCTGAGCTCAGCAGGTGGAGGCTGCAATGGCTGTGAGTGTGCCACTGCACTCCAGCCTGGATGACAGAGACTCCAACTCAAAAAAAAAAAAAAAGAAGAAGAAGAAATGGTTGATCCTAGCAAGGTTGGGGACATAATTATTTGCTGTTACATAATACAGTTAACATTTGTTGCTACCAAAACAGATAATTTCCATGTGATTAAACACAATTCTATTATGAAAAATCTTTTATATGGCCTTGTAAAGTAATAAGATATGCTAAATTGTTTTCTTCATCAGAAAATAATTGCTATAATGTAACAAAGCTTTTAAATCCAGGTTTTCCCCCCTATTTTTATCTTTCAGGGTTCTAACCATTTAGCTGTTGTTTTTGGTGACATTATTTTAGCAGTTATTGACTCCATTTTTATATGGTTCATATCCTTTACTTATGTCCTTCTCAAATAGTTTGTTATATGATTAAAATCAGATTACTTTTAATTTGTAATGAGGATAGGAAGAAATACAGTTACACATTAGTGTTATACCTCAATGCAGGAATTTAGTTGAAGATGAAAAAGTAACAACTTCTCAAACAAGGAATTTCTTGTTTTTCTATTTAGTTCAGCAAACAGTGCGTATTCAACATGGGCCCCTTCCGGTGAGGCATACATGAAAATGATATTGTCCCTGAATGTAATTTGCAACCTGGTAGGGGAGACAGATATATAAGTAACAGTGATAATAGCAATAGTAGTTGCCATTTTAGAGAGGGACTATGACAAAGGGGGAGGAGAGAAATTAATGCGGGCCTAAAAATCAGGAAAGGCTTCACAGAGGTGCCAACATTTAAATTGAGATTGGGAATTCAAATAGGGGGATTACTAAGAAGAGAATTGGGGAAAAGTCATTCTAAGAAGAACTGATGGAAACAAATAGTTGGAAATATGAAAACGGGAACAGTGACAATGTTTAGGGTAGCCTGCCTGCATGTGTGGGAGAGCCATGGCAGCTGGGGCCAGGGAAGGATGGCAGGGTGTGCTCAAGCACTTAGAGCATCTTCTGAAGGTGGGAGGTAGAGAGGAATTGACACTGTCCAGGTGAGTAACATGGTGAATCTGTGCTAGAAAGAACTCTGGGTGACAGAAGACGGTGACTTGGAAAAGGAGAGACTAGAGGCAAGAAGCTTAGTAAGGAGTCATGTTGCAACAGCACAAAAAAGAGATGGCAAGGGTCTGACATAGGGTAGGAGACGTGGGAATAAGAGTTCACATGATAGACCTACTAGAAATGGAGAGAAGGCTCCGAGAGGCCTGTGTGTCTCATTTGGATGACTGGGGACAGTGTTGCTATTCCCAAGGGAGTGATCTTGGAAGAAGGGTTTAATGGATGACATTTGAGCCGTCCAAGGCATGAATGTAAAGAAGCGAGTTGGAAATTGCAGGCTGGGTTTGCGAGAGGTGTCAGAACTGGTGATGAAGATTGGAGGTCATCTTCTGAGGAAGATGCTGCTGCAGAATAAGGCAAGGAGAACATGTAGGAGGAGAGGAGAGGAGCTAGAATGGTGCCCCGTGAGGACCGAGTTGTGTGTGGAAGAAACACCAGGGTGAAGGGAGGCGGAAGGACCAGGAAACTGTCATGGGGGAGATGGGAGAGGAGCGTGGTCAACAGTGGTCGGGGCTGCAGAGAGATGGCCCCACAAGGCAGAACTGGCTTTGGTCATTCCAGAGGCTGGAATGGGCAGAAGGAGAACAAGTTTAGAGAAGGTGGAGGACTGAAGCCATATTACAGCAGGAGAAATTTTAGAGGCAGTAGGAACTGGATCCTTGAGGGTCCTCCACTCTGATTCAGAGATGCAGACTGAGTCTGGGGAATCCCCATTGTTTTTTCTCCATGTAGGTGCATGTGGAAATGGGAGGAATTCTAGAGAAAACATGATCTGGTCAAAGTGGAATGCAGAGTTATGCCTATCCTAGAACATTATTTTTATGTTTCTGTTACGTTTACTTTTCTATTAGGTAGACTTCATTTTTACCAAGCTATTTTTGTTTTCACTGTCATTAAGTCTTTTAGTTTTTTAACTATAAGTTTTGTTTTGTTTTGTTTCTTCTGGGAGGCGAGGTCTCTCTTTGTTGCCCAGGCTGGGTCTAACATTAAGTTTGTTTTAGATTGTTTTCCTTGTATTTCTTTCCATTTTCTCTTCTATGTGTCTCACCAGGAAGGACCAGAAGGCTTGACTTTGCCTTTGTCTCTTCTCCACAAAGCAGGTCTCCCGTTCTGCAGGTGTGCGACCAAATGTATCGGTTTTTCTTAGTCCCTTTTGGGTTGTTTTCTAAGCCTGGTCTGCCTATTCTTTAGTTCCCTATTTGTGAATTCTCAATATGCTTCTAAGTTTTAAAAAAAACCACTTTTACTATGCTTACTCTCAGAACAATGGTTCTTTTTGACTTGGAAAATCTAATGAGCTGGGGGTGGTGGCTCATGCCTATAATCCCAGCACTTTGGGAGGCAGAGGCGAGAGAGGATTGCCTGAGCCCAGGGGTTTGAGACCAGCCTGGGCGACTTGGCAAGACCTCATCTCTACAATAAATCAAAAAATTAGCCAGGCATGGTGATGCACGTCTGTAGTCCAAGCTACTGGGAAAGCTAAGATGGAAAGATCACCTGAGCCCAGCAGGTCAAGGTTGTAGTGGCCTTAAGCCTGCCACTGCACTTCAGCCTGAGCAAGAGAGTGAGACTCCAACTCAAAAAAAACAAAAAGAAAAGAGAGCTGTGGGGTCTCTCTTCACATAATATAGACACACACCCCACACAAAGAGTTTTGCATATGGGTTAGTTAAGAACCTCCCAAATATATCCAGGAATTCCCTCGGGGTCTTAGGATCCTAGTTAAGAGATAATAACTGGAATTGTTTCTGACTGAACTTGCTTAAAAATGGTGTTCTACTTTGTTCAGAACTACTAGTTTAGAATCCGAGTTTATTAAATAAAATTATGGTTAAATCTGTCTTTTCCAAGTGATATAAATATCTTCCTCTAGTGTAGTTTTCATATTTTCTACTTTTGCTGACATTAAGTTGCTGAAAGTGTGAGATGCGTTTCTCAGCTGTGCACATGAAGAGTGTTCCAGCTATGAATCTCATCTCCACAGGCTGCAGGTCTGGCACCAATTCTGTTCATTAGGGAGAGTCACCTGTCTGGAAGAGAACGGGCTGGAAGTGTAAACATGCTTAGAGTTGAGAGAGGTAGACTTGCAATGAAGATGGACCTAGCCATTGGTCTCAGCAGGACTATTTTTAGATCTTAGTGTCTTAGCCTCTGTCATTGTGTGTTTAGGATATGAGCTTAAGATATCTATTCATTTTGGAATTATCTTGTTTCTATTGTGTATGCTAGAGGTTTAATAAGCTAGGGAGTTTGCTCTTCCACTGATTGAGCTGAAGACTGCATTTCAAACTTTTTATACTGGCAGGGCTCAGTGACTCAGCCTGTAATCCCAGCACTTTTGGAGGCTGAGGCGAGTGGATTGCCTGAGCCCACGGGTTTGAGACCAGCCCGGGCAACTTGACAAGACCTCATTGTAATAAATCAAAAATTAGCCGGGCATGGTAGCGCATGCCTGTAGCTCCAGCTACTTGGAAGGCTGAGACAGAAGGATCGCCAGAACCCAGCAGGTCAACACTGGGGTGGCCTGTGAGTGTGCCACTGCACTCCAACCTGGGCGACAGAGTGAGACTCCAACTCAAAAAAAATTTTTTTACTTTCTTTTCTCACTGTAACTTACAGATATACATTTCAAAGATTTCTTTTCTTAATCATCCATAAAGTAGTTCATTGGGAAAAATACTTTCTCAATGCAACTTGGCAGAAAATTCCAAAGAAAAGCAGCACGAAAGGCTCTGCATATGATTGAGGGTAATTTATCATCTTTATGGACAGCATTGACTTTGATACATTTCAGTACATAATGATCCAGACTGGGATCGGGAGATAAGAAAAATGAGAGGAAGACTTTACTTTGCCTTATCATTTACTATTGCAATAAAAACGTTTAAGGAAATAGATAAATCCAGAAATTAAAGGGGCTTTGGTTAGTGTTTTATGATGAGACACAAGAAACCTAGTATCTATTTCTGCTTGAACCTGAATTTGTGAAATTTGCTTTTAGACTGCTGTTTGGTAATTTTATCACTAAAATAAGGTCTGCTTTCTCTATACAAATGATAGTGGATTTCCCAAATGGTTAAAAGTGATAAGCAAAAGAAGCAGAACTAGATACATATAAAGTTGAGTGCTTTGGATAATGATCTTGCTTTCTTTGATTCTGATGAACTTAATATAACTAATCCTGTAAGAATCTAATTCTAAAGTAGTGGAAGAAAGTAGCCTCAGAAATTCAAATCCTTTGCCTTTCTCATGTGACCCCTCCCCTCTTTTCTGCTTGCTTGTTTTAATATTGTGCTGTTTTGGTGCAGGCGAATGATTCTGATCTTGTTCTTCTGGCCAGCCTCCCTCTCTCTCTCCTTGACTCTGGCTTGTGCTGGTGGATATCCTTTGCCTACGCAGCAGCATGTTCATGCTGATTCTCATTTCAGGAGAATGAGACTGCTTTGACACTTTCTTTTAATGGAAAAGTTGATTCATCTAAATTTAACAGTGTCTTGGTAAGTGGAGACTTAGGCAGTGTCAAATTTGCTTTTGGTCTTTTTAGTCCTTGGCTTTTAAAAATCATTTTTAAGCCGGGCTCGGTGGCTCAGGCTGTAATCCCGTGCTTGGGAGGCTGAGGTGAGTGGATTGCCTGAGCCCGCAGGTTCGAGACCCGCCTGGGCAACTTGATGAGACCTCATCTCTACAATAAATCAAAAAAAAAATTAGCCAGGCGTGGTAGCACGCACCTGTAGTTCCAGCTACTTGGAAGGCAGAGGCGGAAGGATTGCCGCAGCCCAGCAGGTCGAGGCTGTGGTGGCCGGGAGCATGCCACTGCATTCCAATCTGGGTGACAGAGTGAGACTCTAACTAAAAAAAAAAAATTAAAAATAAATAAATAAATAACACTTAAAAATTATTAAATAAGACCAGATTTTTTTAGCCTAGAGAATTGGTTTTAGTTAAGAATTTTTAAAAAGTTATTTGCCTTGATATGTTTAAGGAATAAAGTATAACTTCATTTTTAAAGTTTTGATAGTAGCCTGAATTGATTGGGTTATATTATTTTAGAAATTGATCTTATTTTGTAACTTATTGGTCATTTAGAAAGATTGAAAAGGTTTTAATAATGTAGCTTTAGTACTAAAATGAAGTTCTAACTAATAATGTATTTGGAATTTTAAAAACTTGCCATTTCCATTCTTTTGCTCAACTTGGTTTTTTTTTCAGTGTTTGGTCCATAAACAAAGTTTGTTGGTCAGCTCCAGAGGAAGGAGTTCTCATTTAAGAACATAATGATCTGGCTTGAATTCTAACTTCACTGCTGAAGAATCAGTAGAAAAGTTTCTTTTTGCTTCTTCATACTTAACAATATTGAACTTTACCTGCGCCCTGTGCTCCTGGAAACGACCAAGATTAAGAAAACCCTCCACCATTTGTGTTCTGGGGAAGGGCTTGCTGCAAAGAACCCCCTTCCCCACAGGACTTACATAAGACTCCTGGAGGCCCTCTTGTTCACCTAAGACAAGGTCAGACCCAGACCCTCCTTCTTGGCCTCATGAACTCTTTATAACCATTGATCAATCTAGGCAAAATACTGACTGGACCAAACTTTAAGCATTCTCCTGCCCAGAGGCCCTGAACTTTGACCTACACACACCCAACACACAGCCTTCCTTAAGGGCCCCGTCTGAGAGTCTGCAGACCTCAAGGAAAGACATTCCAATCAGTATATCTCGTTATACATGCAACCCACTCCCCACACCTGCTTCTTTCTGTTCTTGCCTCCTTCTCTCTATGAAAGAAAAGCCCTCTTCTGCCTGACCTTTGAGATGCCTGCAGATCTTATAGTACTATAGTGTTCTCCCTAGTGCAATAATCCTCCCCCACTGTAGTAATATTTCAAATAAAGTCTCTTTTTACCTAAGTCCAGATTTGTTTTATTTAGCGTATTTCAGTTTTTTAATTTATAAAATAGAATTGATGGATGACCTAACTTCTTAACTGTGGTCATTCTGAGAATAAAACCGGAATAGACTAGAAAGAGCAAAAAAAGAGGTAGAGTCAGAAAAGCACAAACCAAATGGCATATCATGTGATCTGTAAATTGTCTGACCTGCGGGGGACTTGGATTTTAGTGCGTGCACTGCTCTGTCCTATGATGCAGGAGTGTGGCATTGACAGAACACATCATAGGTCTTCTTTATGTTTTTTTCCTCGAAGTTTGTTTATTTAGTTGAGACCATGGTAAATTGTATAGCAAAATCAACAATAAAGTCAATATCATTATTGTACACTGTTGGCTAACGTAACATTTTCTGTTTTTATTAGCCTCCAATTTTAGGAATTATAGCAGTACTGACTTTGGGAGTGTAGTGGATTTTTCTTTTTTAAAAACTATTTATTACTGTTTGAGATGTTTTTCCTTAACTCTTTTCACATTTTTATAAGTTTGGCACAAACCATGAAGACTCTAAGGCTAAGAAAGAACACAGTGAAATTTTCATTATACAGGCACTTCACAAATACTCTCATCTTTGCTGTGCTAGGTAAGCGATTTGATTTTCCTTATTATGATAAATTATCTTAGTATTGTGTGTTTCTTCAAAAGTGCCTTTTTTGTGTGTGTTTCAGCTTCTGTAGTGTTTATGGTGTGGACAACTAAGACATTTAGAATTGCAAAATGCCAATCAGTAAGTATAATCTTCCTGTTTTAACAGTTGGCACTTTAAATTATATTATTTTATTTTGTAGCATTTTGAAGACTAATCTTTCTTCTATTATGCTCTTTTCTCAACTTTTTTATATATTTTGAAAAAGAATTATTTTTCTGTATAACTTAAAGTAACAGGAAATCTTTTTCTTCTGCGCACTATGACATTGAGTGGTTTTGTATCTAAATGGGATTGGAAGCCTTAAATCTGGCATGTTTCTAGGTGTACTCACCATGGACATTCAGGAGATGTTCTCCATGGATCTTCTGATTGGAAGAAGACATATTTTTCAGAATATAAAAGGCCCTCTCTTGGGGATTGAGATTTAGAGCTAGTCTTTACTTCTATATAAATAATCACAAAGAGCTATCAGAAAATCCTGATTTGCTGCCACCTTAGAGACAGTTTAATAGAGAAGAGGTTTCACCTTCTGAAATTTATTTTTTTTCTTTCCGTAACCTTAGCATTTTCCACTTGAAGTTCTAAGCATACGTTTTGGATTTTTTGTTTTCTGAATCTGTTAACCCTAAAATTTTATGGAAAAGAATGTTTATAATGTTAAAAAGTCCCATAGAAACATTTCAAACAATGTAGGTTTCCTGAAAAAGAAAATGTGTGTGTTTGTTTGCAAGACTTATTTGTTGCGAAGATTTTATTAGTGCTTGTCATTGTATGCTATTGAATGGGAAATGTGTATGTTTATCAGAAAACTAACTTTTCATGTTTAAATTGTCTTTATCTTAGGATTGGATGGAACGCTGGGTTGATGATGCATTTTGGAGCTTCCTTTTTTCACTTATCCTTATTGTAATAATGTTTTTATGGAGACCATCGGCAAACAATCAGAGGTACCTAACATGGGAAAATTCAAGTTGGCAAGCCTTTGCTGATCAGCTCCTGCAGTGTCCAAAACACTTTCATAGTGGGGAACTAGTCCTTGCTTTTAAGGGAGTGTATAGTCAAGTAGGGACATAAGCAAAGCAAATGCAAGGTGGTGAAAAAAGAGGTGTATAAACTGTTCTAGAGGAAGATGGAAGAGGGATGAGGAAGACTCCATAAAAAGGCAGGTTTGGGCTGGGCGCGGTGGCTCAAGTCTGTAATCCCAGCACTTTGAGAGGCTGAGGTGAGGGAATTGCCTGAGCCCACGGGTTCAAGAACAGCCTGGGCAACTTGGCAGACCTTATCTCTACAATAAATAAAAAAATTAGCCGGGCATGTTAGTGTGCTCAAGTAGTTCTGGCTACTTGGAAGGCTGAGGCGGAAGGATCGCCTGAGTCTAGCAGGTTGAAGCTGAGATGGCTGTGAGCCTGCTACTGTCCTCCAATGTGGCCGACAGAGTGAGACTCCAACTCAAAACAACAACAACAACAACAAAAAGGCAGGTTTATGCTACACCTTGTAGAAAGAAATAGGACAGTGAGTGATCAAACTGGGAAAGGAGGTTCATTTTCTGGGGTTGATGGGATACTTGGAAGATCAGTGAGGCATCAGCTCCATTATCACCATGTCCTCATACTGGAGGGAGATCAGGCTGGAAAGAAGGGGTGGGGCCAAAATAGCAAAAGGTCTGAAAGCCAAGTTCAGAAAGTTATACATTAGACTGTGTGTGATGGAAAACCCTGCCTTCCTTGCTTCTTCCCTCTTCCTCAGGGAAAGAATATGTCTATCCTTTAAGAAAAAATTAAAAAGTATATACAGGTTGAGCATGCCAAATCCAAAATCTGAAATGCTCCAAAATCTGAGACTTTGAACACTGACTGGACACTCAAAGGAGATACTCATTGGAGCTTTTCAGATTTCAGGTTTTCAGATTTGGGGTACTCAGTCAGTAAATATAATGCAAATATTCCAAAATCCAAAAAAAATCCTAAAATTGAAACACTTTCAATCTCAAGCATTTTGGATAAAGGATATTCACCCTGTACCAGCATGTGTATTTCTCCCTCCATTTAAAAAATATATATATCCTGTTCTGTATCTTCCTGTTTAAAATACATCTTTCCATATCATCATGTGCAGACCTGCCTACCACATTACTTTTATTGGCTATATGGCATTTTCTTTTTTTTTTTGAGTCAGAGTCTCATTCTGTTGTTCAGGCTAGAGTTCAGTGGCACACTCACAGCCACCACAGCCTCGACCTTCTGGGCTCAGGTGATCCTCTTGCCTCAGCTTTCCAAGTAGCTGGAATTACAGTTGCATGCCACCACACCTGGCTAATTCTTATTTATTTATTGTAGGGACAAGGTCTCACCAAGTTGCCCAGGCTGGTCTTGAACCCCTCGAATCCTTTCACCTCTGTCTCCCAAAGTGCTGGGATTACAGGGGTGAGCCACTGCTCCCGACCTGTATGGCATTTCATAATATGAACACAATAATTTATATAAATAGTCACCAATTATTAGACATTTTGTTTAAAAAATAGATTTTTTTTTCTCTTATCAACAATACTTTCTGAATGCTTTTGGACATCATCCTGACAAACTTTTGTTAGTGTAAGTAAGGTAAATACATTTTTACTTTATTAGACATTTTGTTTAAAAAATAGAATTTTGCTCTTATCAACAATGCTTTCTGAATGCTGTTGGACATATCTTGAAAACCTTTGTTCATGTAAGCAAGGTAAATGCATTTTTACTTTGATAGACATTGCTAAAAGACCTCCAGAAAAGTTAACTTGAAGCCGGGCTTGGTAGCTCAGCCTGTAATCCCACGCCTTT